TTTTTTCAATTTTTGCAACCAACACTCATTTATAACTGTGAAATTATTTGAGTTGAAAACATTCAAACTTAACATTATCAAATATATTAAGTGTGAACGGGTATATGCATTAGGTGCAAATTAGGTGCAAACATAATAGTTAGAAAAATAATGCAAATAGTGCTGTAATGACATGTTGGGTTTGATTTATAAAAAAGTTGTGCATGAGAGAAATAACTGTGAAGATAAAATAAACTGCTTTTACTATGGGTTTATACGCACAGAACTTCAAGCATGCTGCAAAAGCAATCCCTAAACTTATAGCTTTTTTCATACTTTCTGTATGTGGTCCTGCTTGCAGTGCACAGGGCCATCTTTAAGGAGGGGCAAAAGTGGCAGCTGTCCTGGGCCCAGTCGTTGTGGGGCCCAAAGCAGCTGTCCCATACTTGCCAACTGTACTGGTTTACAATCTCTTGTCCTTGGAAGTCTTTGTCCCAGGCTATGTCTGATATCTCAGTGTGAAGTGCTGTCACTTACGCTGTCTAGCTCTGTCCTATTGCCATGTACAGATGACTGACATGTGCAGACCATGCCAGCATTCATGTAAATGATGGCGGTATTCATATGTATATAGCGGTGGCAATGTGGCATGTAAATAGCGGCTGGAATGTGGCATTTATATGTATATTATACCCTCCAGGGGTTCCAGCCACCAACACTTCTGCTGGTGGTTAGTATAAATTGCCCCTTTCATTGGTGGCCAGTGCAGAAATGTAATAGTTGTTGGTGTAAAATCCCCCATTACATTGGATATCAGTGTAAATCCTTCATTACAATTGTGGTCAGTGCAAATTCCCCATTACATTGGTGGTCAGTGTAAATTTCCCTTTACATTGGTAGTAAGTGCAGAATTGCCCTTACACTGGTGGGCAGTGAAAATCCCCCTTACATTGGTCATCAGTTTTAATCCCCCCTAACATTGGCGGTCGGTGTAGAAATGTCACCTCCCATCCCCATCCAGCACTGCCACTGATCCCACCCACCCCAAGCACTGCTATTGATCCCATCCCCCAAGTACTGCCACTGATCCCATCCCCCCCCCAGTACTGTCACTCATCCGGTCCCCCTAAGCACTGCCACTTACCCCATCCTCCCCACCACTGCCACTGCTCCCATCAACCCTCCCCCCTAGCACTGCCATTGATCCCAGGAGTCCTAGGAGTGTTCTGTCTATTGGTGGGCCCCCTAATCTTCTCAGTCCATGGTGTGCAGGCAGTGGGGAGATGATGTGCTGTAGCCTTCAGCAATCAATCAAGGAGACGTAATTAAGTTCTGTAACCTCTAGCAACCAATCAGTGAATGGTAAGGATGTGCAGTAACCTCTAACGACCAATAGGTGAGTGGTAATGATGTGCAGTAACATATACACCAGCCAATCAGTGAGCAGTAATAATGTGCAGTAGTCTCTAGCAACCAACCAGTGACCAGTAATGATGTGCAGTAACCTCTAGCAACCAATCAGTGAGCAGTAAGGATGTGCAGAAACCTCTAGCAAGCAGAAATCATGTGCTGTAACTTCTAGCAACTAATCAGTGAGCTGTTATGTGTGCTGTAACCTCTAGCAACCAGTCAGTGTGCAATAATGATATGTTGTAACCTCCTGCAATCAATTGCAATTGCTGTCTGGTCTGCTGCAGTAAACTGATTTTGAGTTTTGCTGCTATTTATTGTATGTCTCAGAGCAGGTGGAGAGCGAAATTTGATGGTAGAACCCAAGAAAGAGTTTGCCCAGGGTCCAATCAATGTTAAAGATGGCCCTGGCAGTGCACTGTGAATGTCCGAAAAAGGATGTTTTGTGCCTTCTATTTTGAGAACTCAGCAGGCTGCAAGGCAAGATTGCAAGATAGGGCCCCTTGTTGAGAATTGGATAAGACCCTATCATCTGTTATCACTTAAGTAAATTATATTCTTCATTCATTTTAATTGTGTGCTTTGTTCTACTGGTACACGGGTATTGAGAGACTTAAACTGCATATATTATCAGTTTCCTTGCGGGTCACTGCAAAGGAAATTATGGTGAACAGTGCCAGGCAATTGGAGATCTCTTTAAGAATTGATCATTAAATTAAGAGTCTAAGTGCCAAGCAGTGGCAGGATTCTTAATTTTGGGTCATGAGATCAAGAGCCAATCACTTTACTCTGGGGCTGATTTACTTACTAAACATATATTGTTCCCTTAAAAAGTGAATGATCTCTTTTAATCTACCTTTGCATGTGAGTAGTTATTTAAAGTGAACACAGCTTTTCCAAATTTACCAAACTCCTTTAACATTGTGACAGAGATCAGAAATATTATTTTACTTTTGTGTTGTTCGTTGAAATCAACAAGTGTTTCCAGCAGTCAGCTTGTATGCTTAGTTAAATTTTGGAGTTCCTGTGCCCCGCAGGGGGTGGGAGATGAGGTTGATCTCAGCAGGGAGCACAGACAGCATAGTGTCCGGTGGCTGTGAAAAGCCAGACGTGTCGGCACCGGGGGCTTGGTCAAATTAAAAGGACCATATAATGTCCCTATGGGGGGGAGAATGGGCAAAGCTTAAGTCAAGATGGACAGAGCAGCTCATGGCTGCAGGCCTTGCTAGGAGATTCATTGAACTGGGTTTTTTGTGCACTGCTGGGAGTTGCGGTTCTACATTGCCTGTGTGGTCTTGAAGCTGCGGCCATGACACACAGCCCTCCAAAGACCCTTGAGGAGTTGGTGCCTATCTGTCTAGACTTCCTCTGCTGAGGCCACTGCTGGCTGGTGAGTCCCTGAATTGCTACCCTGTGCCAAGGACTTAACCTATTCTACTCTGCCTCCCTGTTTTGTGCCCACCTGGATGTACCCATTTCCTGCCTCCCTGTTGTGTGTCCACCTGGATTTAACTCATTGCCTGCCCTGCCAGAGCCTGCCACCCTGCTGTGTGCTGCCATTTGGACTTAACCCATTGCCTGCCAGTCTGCCACCCTGTTGTATGCCCACCTGGATTTAACCCATTGCATGCCAGAGCCTGCCTCCCTGTTGTGTGCTTACCTGGACTTAACCCATTGCTTGCCAAAGTCTGCCTCCCTGTTGTGGGCCCAGACAGTGCTACGGACTAACCCTCCTTTGCTGCCCACCTGAACTTGGTGATGCTTGGCGTATGTCCCACCCTGTGGTATGGACTTTACTTTTGTTTTGCCAAAACCTTGCTATACTCATTGTGTGCCCTTCAAATCACTCAATAAAAGCCTTGTGTGTCCCACTGCTCTCCGCGTGTGTTCTGCCCCACCTACACCTCCGTCACAAACATACACTTTCCGAAGTCAGCAGTCTCTAACCAACCCCCTGGGGTATAATCACTAAAGGTGAATAGGCTTTTCTCCAAAACGTAGATGAAGGAGATGAAGCTCTCCTAACTTCTGTCATCCAATCATGTACAAGCAAAAATACTTTTTATTATTTTCCATGCCCACAATTGGGTGTTCTTTGAAAAATTGCACCTTGCAAAGCAAACAGTCTATTTGCCTTTTGTAAAATCTCTGAAGGAAAACACAAGACACATATAGGATCACATTTGTAAAATATTTATTTTACATTCTGTCATTTTATAGAGTGCATTTGTTAAAATGTTCACCACAGCATTTACCACATAAAAAATAGATTTGCTAACATCTTTTCTTAAGTGGTAGGATGTAGTTTCTGTTACATTCACTTCTGTGAATGAATGAACTGCAAGTCCCGGCAGCTTTAGCGGCTCTCAGCTTGTAGTTTTCTATGAACTATGTGACAGTGTGGCGATCTCTCACCCAGGATTCTCAACAAGGCAGGTTGAGGGGCTCCAGGGTAAGTGTTTGATATGGAGAAAAGTGGCTTTTCACTTTCCTCCTTTGTTTGTAAGGCCCATTTTGGGACCTGGAGATTTCAAAGTGATTTGGGAGGGATGAAATCTCCAATCCTGGGACCAGGTTTTGGAAATGGCCAGGATACTGATTTCTCAGGTGTGCAGGGCAATCTTCTAGGGTCAGGACCAGGAGGCCTCCACCCCGGCAGACGGAGTCAGGAGGGCTCCACCCAGAAGACAGGAGTCAGGAGGGCTCCACCAAGGAGAGGTGGAAGCCAGACTAGTTGTGTGCGAGAGCCATAATTTGGGAAGAGTCTGCAGGAGACAGACATCAAACTGTGTACAAGCCAGGAGGCTGAATCTTTGTTGTTTTTGCTTGATGGTGGATACCCCTGTGTGGGAAGCTTTATGTGACTGGACGTTCTTTTAAATAAAATTGGGCAAAAAGGCCCTTAAAAATAAGCGAGTTGCTGTGTGCTTTTGAAAGGAAAAGCTCTAACACTGGAAGCGGTTCCCACAACTACCACAGCACTGTGGAGCGCCATGGTAGTTCATTGAAGCTTCCTGTTACAATATCTGCTTGACCGTACATCCTGTACGGCAAGCAGATATTCTGACAGGTCTGCTGGAGATCCGCATGGGATCAGCGATCTACTGATCGCTGGTGCAACGCTTTCCAGGCTCCTGCAGAGGAAAATAATAAATACAATTTTTTTTTCCTGCAAAAAATGTGCATGTCACGGTATGGGAGCCTACCAATTATTAATCCCCTTATTAATGCCTTGTATCACATGCCCTCAGTGTCCTGCTCTGTATTGTTCCAATTGTCCCCTATGTCACTAGGCCAAATGACCAAATAAGATTACTCTGGGCCCCCTCCCACCCGGCCAGCTGGCTGGGAGCTCTCTGCACACCTCCCAACTTGCTTTTCATCTATGCAGACATAATCCCTGCCCCCCAGGATGTCCCTGTCACCAGCCTGATTCTCCCTGGGGTCTAGTGTTCCCTTCCCCCTCCCGGTTGCCAAGGCGACCTGGAAGCGTCCTGCAGCAGTTTAAGAGGTGGATGCTGGGAGTTCCTATTCATTCCATGTGTAGTCTGCAAAGGATCTCAAGCTTCGGCGAGACCTTTGGGACTAGACTCTGCAAGCCTACCCCAGCCTCACGGAGACCCCACAGGAGGGAAGAGACAACCAGACAAAGCTTGCCTGTGATTGCGAGAGACCCCACAGAAGGGGGAGAGACTATCCCAGCCTGCCTGCTTTTTGCCAGAGACCTCACAGAAGGGGGAGAGACTATCCCAGCCTGCATGCTTTTTGCCAGAGACCTCACAGAAGGGGGAGAGACTACCACAGCCCGTCTGCCAGAGCCAGAGGCCACCTGCCTGATCCGGACTCCACAGGTACCTGTGTTCTGCTTCTACCCCTGGGAGACCAGGCACCCTGTTGGATCCGTGAGTACCTGCTTCCCCACTGTGTTACCTGAACTGTTGCGGTGGTGACTCCTCGCACCCCTCTCCTGTGTCAGACTACCCCTGTTACAGGGACACCCCCTTGGCTCTCCTAGTGGACTATAAGTGGGTGGGGCCCCCTCGTTACCATTTAGTGGCAAATCCACCCTCTCTGCCACCCCCGTATTGAAGGACTGCCATCTGTTTGTCTCAATAAAGCTTTGTGCGTCTGCCATCCACTCTGTGTGTTCTGTCCTGCCTTTCCTCCGTCACAGTGCATTTATTATTTTTATCCAAAAGGTGAACTTATCCTTTAAAAGGAGCAAATGACTGTTATTCTCATTGCATGCTGGGGTATTGGTCACAGCAAGAAACTACAATGTGTAATGGACGAGTAGGTTCTCCACAAACCACGACGTTTGGAATCCATGCAGCTGAAAGGGAGCAGGGAAGAGGCAGTGGTTCAACAAACAAGCTGCCGAAAAGGTAATTGTAGTGACTCGTCTTATAGCAGGTATGTAATCCTGTACTAATCCTGTGCTGATAGGGTCGCTTTAACAGCTGACTTCATACACAGTGCTCATCAAACATACTGCTATTACATTCAAGCAAGGCAGACATTATAAATATGATGAATGTGTGGGGAATTACTGCAAAGACTTTAGCAGTTATACTATAAAACATTCACCGGTAAACGTGCCCATGAATGTTTTAAAAAAATAGTGGTGGTTTCAGTAAATGATTCATATCACAGTTGTGCTCAAAGGTTTGCATATCCTGGCAGAAATTGTGAAATTTTGGTATTGATATTGAAAATATGACTAATCTTGCCAAAAAAACTATTTTTTTTAAAGCGGTAGAGAACTGCATCCAAAAAAAAAGAAAAAAAAACATGCAAGGTAAAGGCATAATGTGTTTGTATACATTACATTTACATTATGAAGAACTTACCGTGAAATGAAGCTGTCCAGCAGAGCACTGTCACACCCCTCCCCGGGGCTTCTATCTTCACCCGGTCTTCCTTCCGGGTTCGCGAGCTCTGGCCGGCTGACTGGCCGAGTCGCGATGATGTCACTCCAGCACATGTGCTCAGGAGTCCCGGGGAGCAACACAGTGCTCTGAAGGAATGGCATGGGTATGCCGTTCCATCAGAGTATATGCACAGAGTATAGGCTAATATCACCTAAATGGTTCATGTTTAGGAAATATTAATTTTACCTACAGGTAAGCTCATAATAAAGTTTACTACCACTTTCACCACTGGCCCTCCAGAGGATTTACACCCCTTCCTGACCAAGCCATTTTTTGCGATACTGCGCTGAGTTGCTTTACCTGACAATTGTGCGGTCATGCAATACTGTACAGAAATTAAATTTATGTCCTTTTTTTCCCCACAAACAGAGCTTTCTTGATATTTGATCACCTGTGTGTTATTTATAAACAAAAAAAGACTGACAATTTTGAAAATATTTTTTTTTACTTTTTGCTATAAAACATATCCAGTAAAAAAATTAAAAAAAAACAAATTTCCTCATAAATTTAGACCAATATGTATTCTGCTACAAAAACAATCCAAATATGTATAAATTAATTGGTTCACATGAAAGTTATTGCGTCTACAAATGGTGATATATATATATGTCACTTGTAACAACTCTCTTGTTTCATGAATTCAGTTTCTATTCTGTAGAAACGGAACCTACCTTATATGGTGGCCTTCAGCCATTTGTAGTTGGTATTTTATTGGTAAGAGTACAATATTTCATTGGTCATTCTGACTTTGTATAAAACAGTTTGCACGTATTAAACTTTCAGAGATTTAGCTTGCACACTTTGGTGTCTCGAGCTTTATTTCTCCTTAGAGGTTTGAAATATCCAAAGACATTTTGGGCTACAGACATAGGTGGAATCCTTGCAAGCGGTTTAGACATTAATGGCTGTGTGTTGAGTTATTTTGAAGGGACAGCAAATTTACACTGTTATACAAGCTGTACACTCACTACGTCACATTGTAGCAAAGTGTCATTTCTTCAGTGTTGTCACATGAAAAGATATAATAAAAATATTTACAAAAATGTGAGGGGTGTATTCACTTCTGTGATATACTGTGTGTATATATATATATATATATATATATATATATATATACTACACACACACTGAATTTTTTTTTCTTTATACTAGTACTGGCAGTGATCAGAGACTTATAGCGGGACTGCAGGACTGTGGCGGGCATTCTGACACTGGGAGGGAACTGACTAACTGCCACTGACATCCCAATGACACTAATACAGTGATCAGTGCTAATAAAAAGCACTGACACTATGCTAAGGACACTGGGCAGGAAGGGGGTAACATGTGGGGCTATCAAAGGGTTAACAGTGTGCTGTGTGCTGTTTTACATCATGTGCTGTGTGTGTTTTACAGGGAGACATGCTGCTGTGTATTTCTCTGCTGTACCAAAAATCAGCCCATAACGTCTTGTACAGACAAACAGCACATTGCAGCAAGTAGGGGCAATGTGGTCAATGTCAAAAAGATAATCAACAAATCACTAGGATTATTTTTACTTGAAAGCCAACCGCCAGCTGAAAAAAAGAAAAACCAGGATGATGCACGCACACCCGGAAATAGAAAGCAATATACATCGTTTTACCCAGATCCAAAGCTCGCCTGCACATTGTTGATGGGTTAAAAAAATAAAAATTAAAAATTCCCTCACTATTTTTTTTAACATTATGTTTCTTTTTTTTTTTACTATTTTTTTAAAATACATTCATCAGAGTAGTACAATGCTACCATCAGGGATTTATTTTTAAAGATTATTGCGCCTGCAATGCAATGTTTGCTTTGAACTGGTTACATTGAATGTTGAATAGGTTACGTTTATAAAAGTTCTAAATACAGAGATCTGTGATTGGCTCCAGCTGGTCACATGGTAAAGGGTGCTCCATGTATCATGTGAGAGCTGAGGGCCAATCACAGCTCACCAGGAAGAGAAGCCGAGCTGTTATTAATCAGACTGATTCATAACAGCTTTGCTGTCATTGTAATCATGTGATCGCATAGTGATCACATGATAACCGAGGGGGTCCCATTCACCAGGATCTTCATTCAGCTGTGTCTCACGGGAGGGGGGGAGGAGTTGGCCACCCGCTCTGTGTGGGTACATCACTGATCCCTTTAGCTGCCACCCATTCGCAGTACATTGTGGGCGAGCGGACGGACGGATGGAAAGTGGTTAAACCTCCTGTGGATAAGGTAAGTGAGAGATGAGCACATTGGGGTGGCTGGGCCAGAAATTACATTGGAAAATGCTTCTGTTTATTAAAAAGTGAAATTCTTCCCAAAAAGGCAAAATTATTCTTTAAGGATAGCGGTCATATGAAGTAATTTATTATTACATAGTTGTTTGGCATTTTTACATCATAATAACAGAAATCATTCAAATGGCCCTGATCAAAAGTTGACATAACCTGGAATGTTTGGCCTTGGTACAGACACACAAGGTGACACACACAAGTTAAAATGGCAAGTAAAGGTTATTTTACCACATCTATGGCTTTTTAAGTTGCATTTAGTGTCTGTGTATAAATAGTCAATGAGTTTGTTAGCTCTCACATGGATGCATTGAGCAGGCTAGATACTGAGCCATGGGGATCAGAAAAGAACTGTCAAAAGACCTGCATAACAAGGTAATGGAACATTATAAAGTTGGAAAAGTATATAAAAAGATATCCAAAGCCTTGAGTATGCCAGTCAGTACTGTTCAATCACTTATTAAGAAGTGGGAAATTCGGGGACCTCTTGAGCAAGAAAGATTGCAGCCACAACTGTCAGAAGAATTGTTAAGGATACAAAGAAAAACCCACAGGTCATCTCAAAAGAAATACAGACTGCTCTGGAAGAGTGTGGTTGTTTCAAGCAGCACAATACAACGATACCTGAACAAAAATTAGCTGCATGGTCGAGACTCCAGAAAGAAGCCTTTACTGCACCAATGCCACAAAAAAGCCTAGTTATAGTATGCCCAATAACACCTTAACAGCTCACAGCTTCTGGCATACTGTAATCTGAAGTGACGAGACCAAAATAAAACTTTATGGTTGCAGCCATAAGTGCAATGTTTGGAGAGGGATGAACAAGGTCTATAGCGACAAGAATACCATCCCCATTGTGAAGCATGGTGGTGGCTCACTGATGTTTTTTTTTGGGGGGGGCAGAGCTCTAAAGGCACGGGGAATATTGTGAAAATTGATGGCAAGATTATTGCAACATGTTATCAGAAAATACTGGCAGACAATTTGCATTCTTCTGCACGAACGTTGCACATGGGATGCTCTTGGATATTCCAGAACGACAATGACCCTAAGTATTTGACCCTCCCCAGTGGCTACAGCAAAAAAGATGAAGGTTCTAGAGTGGCCATCACAGTCTTCTGACCTTAATATTATCAAGCCACTCTGAGTAGATATCAAACATACGGTTCATGTAAGATTACCAAAGACTTAGCATGGCCTGGAGGCATTTTGCCAAGAGGAATAGGCAGCTATACCACCTTCAAGAATTCGAGGCCTCATAGACAACTATTACAAAAGACTGTATGCTGTCATTGATGCTAAAGAGGGCAATACACAGTATTGGAACCAAGGCTATGCAGACTTTAGAATAGGGGTCCTTTCATTTGTTAACTTGTTGCCATGTTTTGTTTTATAATGGTGCCATTCTGTTATGACCTATAGTTGAATATGAATCCCATAACAAATAAAAGAAAAGTGTTTTGCCTGCTTACTCATGCTTTCTTTAAAAATGGTACATACTGTATATTACCAATTCTTCAAGGGTATGCAAACTTCTGAGCACAACTGTAAATCAGTATATCCTGATATACAATACAATAATATCACAATATAAAAATGTTACAGATTTGTATAACCTGGCATTATTAAGCAGAGATATAAAACTATACACTGGTTTTTATCAAGCTAGGGATAAATTGCTATTGTAACCTGATGTATAGAATCGAG